CCCCAAAACCCCAAAACCCCAAAACCCCAAAACCCCACTGCTTGCATGTTTCATTGAATTTTAATATTACCCAAGCATATCAGTGTGGTTGAAGTATCATTCTTTTTGTTGAAAGTCCATTTCTGCTGGACTTCTCAGCAGTTCAGTGTCTTTTTGGATATCATTCAGTGCTACAAAGAACTCGCCCTATTTATGTTTTAGTTAAATACATACTTTTAGATCTGTCAATTCTTGGGTAAGAGTCATTATCTGAATGTCCTTTTCCTGTAGAATTTGCTCTAAATTAGATTTGCTCATATACTCCTTTAGGAGATCTTCGAGCTCGATATTCTTTCTCTGCTCTGCTTCAAACTTTTGCTTAAGGAAGTCAATCTGTTCTTGATACTGAGAAATAGTTCTATGATAATCATAAAACTATGCAAAAAGTGTGTGTAGTTACCTATTAGTACTTCCTTTTATACTTCTGAGATTAAATCTTGCTGTCTGGAGACTCTCAATGATTGAATCCTTTTCCAAAATTTCCAGCTTTTGCACTGAAACCTGCTTCTCTAAAGAGTCGATCTTATTCTGTAAGTCAACAAAGGTAACTTTATTCTTCTGATGAGTAATCTCACTTCTCGCAATTTCAGTCTTAAGATCTGTCAGTTGAGACATGAAGGACTTCTTCAGATTTCTCAGACTCTTCTTATATTTCTCACGTAGCTGTGTGACCTTCTGTTCATAATTCTGACATATTGAGCCAGAAGTATTGAAATTTAGCCTAGATGGTCTCATGACTTCAATTTTACGATTGAAATCGAAAATAAAACTCAAGATATAATACTAGAATTATCAAAGAATATCACATTTTATAAATCTGAACAGAAACATAGGAAATTCTGAAGAATTTAAGATTCCTGTTTATATTTTCTTACTTATGGTCAATCCTGTTGTTTCTGATGTTTTCATCAAAATTTTCCTTGTCTTCAAGATCGATAGTTGAGATAATAGATCCCAGCTCTACACTAATGATTGCTGATACTTACTCTTAAATGAGCCTTGTAGTGCTTGAACGTCAGCAGGATTATTGGGGTATTTAAACCCTTTAAAGCCATTAGATCCATAAGGATCCTTTATATCCTTAAAATCACATTTTTGTAATGTATCCACTGATCCTTCTCGAGAGTTCTTGAGTGTCTTTGCTCTGTTCCTCTTCTGAGTCCGCGTAAACGCAGGTCTGGTCCTAACCAGATTATTTGAAACCAATAATTCTGGTAAAGGGTGTATTTCTTCTAAATTTTCATCTGTCTGAGTTCACATATTTCTTGTATCGATCTTACAGGCACTTTCTGCATCTAAGACAAAATTGAAATGTGACCAATAGGTAAATTACCTCTATATTCAGGACAACTGACTTCCACCTCAACCTTGGGTGGATTAGTAAATGCATTTATGTATTCAGTTGGAGTTATAGGAGATCTTATTGGAGAAAGTGCCTGATCGTTGTGAAGGTTTTCATTTATTCTTCCAATGGCTAAATCTTCGCTCCTTCCACGATTCTGGTCTCTTCCTAAGTTATGAACAAATGCTCTAGTTGAAAACTTCGAGTTGTAAAAATTGATAAGTTTATAAAATCAGCAGATTCAGCTTACTTTCTTGAGGGTGTAGATCCTTCCTTTGGTGCTTCTTTTTGTACTTGGTCTGGTGTCATTTATCATCGCATTTAGTGCAGTAAAAGAAGTTCTCTCCTAAGCCACAAGCAAGGCATGCTCTAGTGGCCGTCTTTTTAAAGCATTTCTCACATTTCTGCTTTTGTCTGTGTGTTGTCTTCAAGTTCATATTTTAAATATTTCAAAATTTACAGTTTGAACTGGGGTTTTGGGGTTTTGGGGTTTTGGGGTTTTGGGGTTTTGGGGTTTTGGGGTTTTGGGG